CCCCAAAACCCCAAAACCGCAAAACCCCAAAACCCCAAAACCCCAAAACCCCAAAACCCCGCACCAGAGTATGAAAAATACAAGTAGTTTTAATTGATTTAAATATATAATAAATAAATAAAGCATATCATTAGCAGCTATGGAGGATATTAGAAAGGCTTTGATGACTGGTGAGGGAAACAAACTTACCAAGAAGAGTTACAAATTCGCAGTCGAAGTAGAGAAGAAGAGACTATTTTACCAACTCATCTTCTTATCATTCGTGTCACTTGCTGTAGCTATTGTGCTCTTTTTATCTCTCTATTTCGATATCAAAAGAAGATGAGCGAGAGTTGAACGAACATAGATATGATACGCAGGGTTGCAAAATCAAGGCGAATATAATGGTGCGGGAGGGCAAACACTCTCTGTATAAGTCCTTAATAAGTTATTAAGAAGTTTAAATTATCAGATTTTACGGAGCTATAATAAATACTATCTATGTTCACCAATCAAACTATATATCAAACTCATCTTTAAGTCATTCAGTCTGTTTGTTCGTCACTTTTGGGTCTTATGTGATAAATCTGTTTCACTAAATCTTTGTTCTCATTGCTTTCTTGCAGCTATTCTCCCGTTGCTGCTTGTCTATTATACCTGAGGAGGGTTTTGCTTTTAAGGTTCCTACCCCTCATTCTCATCTTCTAGGAGATTGAAGTTGTTATACATTTGGTCTGGCATTATCATAATACTGCTAACATCTCCAAAAGAGGACTCATAATTAAGTGCTTTTTCGTCTAATTTCATACCACCCATTACTGGTCCCTTTTGTTACAATACTGTTGTAGTCTTCTGACTTGTGTTAGATTCTAAAGTTGACTCCTTACTTTATTACTTTTTACTGTCAATCATTTCAATCTATTAACCTTCGGTTGAGCCTTGTTTACTCTAGTTTTCCTCTTTTGAAGGGGCATTATCCCTTGAGCTAACTTTCCCGTCAAGTCTTTTTTCTAAATCCTCGATTCTTTAAGATGACTTTTTCAATGCTTGATTGAGCTTTTCATTAATGAAAATATGATTCTCATTGCTATCCTTAAGGTTTTGATTCTCCTTTTTGAGATTTTTATAATCTATTCTAATCTTGGTGATTTTATCGTTCAGATACTGAACTGACTGCTCTAACTTCTTAATATAGTCCCTTTAATCTGACTCTTGCCTCTATAGCTTGTTGAGGTCAAGCTTTGGCATATTATGAGGATTTTTAGTCTAAAATATACTTAATTCTTCCTAATTCATAGTCATACCATGGGCCTAACTCACAATTTAATCAATGTGGTCTCTCAACTTGTCATTTTCATATTTAAGTTCCTCTACTTACTGTTTATAGTTTGTATTCTCTAAAATGACGTTTGAAATTTTACGGTCTTTTGGGACTAAATTGAGATCAGCAAGTCTTTTCCTCACACTGGTGTCTTATTCAGCGATGTCTATCAAAATTTTCTCAAATTCGCCATATCTCTGCTCATTGACCTGCAGCAAGTATTCCTTTCGCTCTAAATTCTCCTTTAACTCTTCAATCTCATCCTTGAACATCTCGGCTACATCATCTTCCTTATCCTTTGTGTCCTCGACTATTTGTTGTAAAATCAGCATTCTTGCCTATAGTGAATCTCGCTCCTCCTAAATCCTCTTTAATTTGTTCTCCAATAATTCATTCTCATGATTCAACTGATTGAATGTGTATTCGATAACCTAATTAAGCCCCTTCTTTTAATCTATTAGGTTTTTGATTATGCCTTTATTGATCTTTAACGTTGTCTAAAGGTCCTCAATCATCTATATCAAGTTTTTATTCTCATTCTCGAGGTATATTATTTTCATGACTCTTTTGTCTTGTGCTGTTCTTGTTGAATTCATAGAGTAGTTATGAGAGTCTGATATATTAAGGTCCTAGGGAGCTACCCCATTATTGTTAGTAGTCATTTCTTAAATTCGCAATGCTTGCTTATTTTTATATTAATAATTATTAGTACGAATTTGAATCAACGTTCCAACTCTGATTTAAACTAAGCGGGGTTTTGGGGTTTTGGGGTTTTGGGG